TTGAGAGCAAAATGCCGCTGGATAGAAAATGGTGAACGCCCAACAAAGTATTTTTTTAATCTTGAAAAAAGTAATTACAACAAAAAACTATTAGAGAACTTCGATTACAAGATGACTCTATTACGCGCAACGAGACAATGATTCTAGAGCAAATTGAAAATTATTATAGAAACCTATATACCTCGGATTTAACCTTTTTCTGAAACTGCGTATGACACATTCACTGACAATGTTGAATCCCCTAAGCTTTCAGAGGACGTGCAAGAAACCTTGGAGGGTCTACTTACGTAAGAAGAATGCAAAAAGATACTAGAAACCTTTCAGAATGATAAAGCATCGGGGGTAGACGGATTTACCGTTGAATTTTATACCTATTTTTTTGAACTTTTAGGAATTGGTTTAATAGCAAGTTTCAACGAAGCGCACGAGAAAGGTGATCCCTCCATTTCACAACGAAGGGGAATAATTACTTTAGTTCCTAGATCTTTCAAACTGAAGACCGATTACACTGCTTAATGTTGACCTTAAAATAACATCAAAAGCAATAGCCAAACGCATTGAACCGACACTGCCAAACCTGATCCACTTTGACCAAACAGGCTTCGTAAAAGGGAGATACGTTGGGGAAAATATCCGACTTATAAGTCACATGATGGAATATACGAGTCTACAAAACCTGCCTGGCATTCTAACGTCACTAGACTTCCGTAAAGCTTTTGATTCGATTGAATGGCCCTTTACCATGAAGACCCTAGACCATCTTAATTTTGGTAGTGACATCAAGCGCTGGATTAAGATATTCTACACAAACACAGAAAGTGCGGTACAAAACAATGGTTTTATAACCAGTTGGTTTAAACCATCAAAAGGAGTTCGACAAGGTTGCCCCCTCTCCCGTCCTTTCTTAATTCTTTCTGCGTAGGTACTCTCAAATAAGATACGTCAGGATTCCAATGTGAGAGGAAAGGTAAGGAAATTAAGCTGTCCCAATTCGCTGCTGATGCTACTCTATTCGATGCGGACATAGAATCTTTAGAAATGAAAATTGTTCGATTTCGAACGAATTCCTGGTCTGTCCCTAAATGTAAAGAAAACGAAGGCGCTTTGGTTGGGGAAATGGAAAAGCAATAGAAATAAGCCTCTGGATTTAAAATGGTTCCACAGCCCTGTTAAGATATTGGGGATATATTTTTCGTATAATATTAAGAAAAATAACGAGCTTAACTTCGATAAAAAGATCCAAAAGTTGCAAACTAAGCTGGATATGTGGAGTTCACGGGACTTGACGATATTTGGAAGAGGCATGTTAATTAAAACCTTGGGTATATCGCAACTTATCTATTCGACCTCTAATCTGGTTGCTCCCAAAGGAATTGCGGAAATTGTAAGAACAAAATCTTTTAAGTTCCTCTGGAAAAACAAAAAAGATAATATAAAAAGATCAGGCCTTTACCAAGATCTAGACCACGGTGGAATACGCATGACCGATTTTGATATTATGTTAAAAGCCCTAAAACTCGCCTGGATCCCGAGACTATTGCGGACTAGCTTCGGACAATAGTAATTGGTATATTATTCCAAAGCATTATTTCAGAAGAAAGGGAGGGTTAAACTTTCTACTAAGGTGCAACTACGACACGAATTACTTTAACGACCTCCCGCTCTTTTATAAGAAGATACTAGACTTCTTCAACGATTAAAAACTCTTTATTCGTACGATCAAAAGCAGGAGTTAGTATTGTTTAATAACAAAGATATATTGGTGGACGAGAAACCCATCTTCCTTAATGATTGGTTCAAAAAGGGTATTCTATCGATTAATGACCTATTGAATGAAAGCGGCAATTTTTTAACATTACACGAGTTCCGTAATAAATACTCCTGTGAATCCAATTTTTTACAGTATTATCAAGTTGTTAGCGCTATTCCGGAACGCTGAAGGTCTCTAGCCAAGTGCTCCGACACCATGAACAAATCATTTTTTACCGGAAATGATAATATCTTTTCCCTCAACGAATCGACACAAATTAATCTGTACAAGGCTAAGTCAAAGGACTTCTATAATTTGCTTAACGTCAAGATTCACACTGAAGATCAAACGGGACCTAAACGTTGGAGAGAAAAACTCTCTTTAAAGAAAGACGAGTGGATTCAGATCTTTCAATCACTGAAAAACATTTGTAAGGAAACTAAACTAAAAGAGTTTCAATTTAAATTAATCCACAGAACGACAGTAACTAAGAAAGAACTAT